AGAGAGAGAGAGAGAGAACAGGGACAAGTGTCACAACGTCATAGGTAAAGAGAGGCGGTGAAGGGAGAGACTCGACGACGGGCCTGTGGGCTGAGACAATGGTGGGCCGGCTACGAGAGGGTCTGCCTGATGGTCTAGCAGTATCATTAATGAAGGCTGCAAAGGTGGGTCCAATAAATCAGCGTCCACCTGAACCTCTTTGCCAGGGCGAGAGGTGAAACCCCTAAGTGACTGCAAAGTTGAGTTTGCCGGGGTGCGAGAAGAAAGGAGAACAGGTGACACATGCGGCTAGATAGGTGGAGTGGGCCATTGATAGGAGGAACAGTTAGGGGTTCGGCATGGGCAGCAGCAAGGTGGGCGGCTGTCGTGCTGTTGTCAGTTTACTCCTATGTTGGTTGTCACGTAACTCCCAAAGGCGCCAAACTTGCAAGCTATGGAACCTTGTACGAACCTCCTTCCCATGTTCTGAAACCACCAACGGGGGACGCCGCCCATGGCGGTGACGGCGGCCGGGCACCACTCTCCAGTCAGCGGGGGAGGCCTTGAGGGAAGGTTGAGCGACATCATGGTTGATGAATTGAGGGGATGGTGGAGAGGCCGAAGTCCAAGACACCGTCACGCGATAGAAAGAGCCATTCACCTCCATCCAGAGAGAAGAAGGGATGAGACGAGGATCCAAAGTTTCGAGTAGCAGGTGAATGGATCCACTAGGAAGGAATTCAAATGATTTCCAGTGGATCTCGACCAGGTCATCACAAGCTTCGGCTATCTTCCAAAAAGCGGTAGGGGACCAAGAGTGTAAGGGAATGTGAGAGGCCGTAAGCCAAATCCGCTGCTTCTTGAAGGAGCCTATTTCTAGCGACCATTTGCTGAGCTCAAGCTGTACTCCCTTGAAGGTGGGCAGAGAATCCGAATGGAGAGTGCAAAGGGCACTGGCTTATGAAGGGAAGTTGAAAAGGATGGTTCGGTTACAGAGACGAAGGCACCCCAGTTCCGGCTCCCCCCAAAGACTCTAACCCCATTTTTCGATAGCCCTGAAATCATCTCTCTTGGGTTGAAAGAAACCTACCAAAGATGAGCGAAGTTTGAATTTGAGGGTAGCAGAGATCTCGTTCGGAATATGAATGGTCTGCGAGAGATAAGAAGAGGAGGTTTTTGACAGAATGGTAGGCGGCTGAGTAAGAGGGGGGTTCACTACCTCTGCCGGACCACCTACGGGCTTAGAAAGCATCGCCTGTGCGTAGGTGGGATTTGGGGGATTGAAGACCAGAGGGCTGAGCCGAGGAAATGGAAGGGGGGAGATAAGTAGAAGAAGAATGTAACTGGCTAGAAAGGCTTTTCATCAAGATAGCTTTGGTTTTCTTTTCCACATATAATTTCTACTATTTCATTTTGATATTATCATAGTTCTTTTTCTTTCCCAATATGGACCATTATCTTATAGTCTGGACCTTTGATTCTAGATGTTATATGTGTTTAGATTTAAGAGCTAATCACTTTGCAGGAGTCATGTTTTACTAGCTGTGGTTTCTTAGCCATTTGCTAGAATGATATCCTTGAAGGAATCTTAAAACATGTTTGTGGGCAGAAGTGTGTGAAATCCTTTCCACTTGTTTGAGATAGTGCCCTACATTATCATAGTTTTTCCAACTAAAGTGATACTCATGAGATGTACATGCATTTTCTTGTGAGCTGCCTATTTTGTAGTCAACATTCAATTTTGAAAGACTAGATCAGGTTTAAGGCTTATATTGCTATTGGGTGTAGAAAAAGGGTCATGTCGGTTAGTAGGAGTTTGGTTTTTATGTATTATCGTGAATATTGATGGCAAGAGTTATGGAATGGATCCTTATCATATTTATAGAAAAGTAATGAATTGAATGAATCCTCAAAGTGCATTGGAGGCTTTCCCATTGTTATAACCATCTATGTGATGGGGCACGGTGAGTGTTTGGGAATATTTTTCCGATTTTTGTGACCTGTGTGTAATGAGGCAATGTACGATACTTCTGGTCATTAATAGCAGTTCATTGTTCCGGAAAGATCATCCAATGGATATAGTTTATGTTTATTCCCTCGGTTGATGGGCTGGATATATTTATTTATTTATTTATTTATTTTGTTAATCTCTCTCCCTTTTCTTGAGTATGGATCTAGTTGAAACCACTTTTGGTTTACTTGAATATGGGTCTCGTTGAATCCACATAGGGGATGCATGGAGGTCTTGATATGGGGTTTAGGGTAAGTTTGTTTTTGACGAGGGACAAACTGTGTATAAGTGATCCTCCTCATCCAAACTGTTGATAATTCTGATGGACCAACAGAGCTATGTCCTTCAAGATGCTATTGAGCTTGTGGATTGTTTTGACTATGATATATGCTTCTTCACTCCATGATAATTAGTTGCTAGCTTTCAGATAGGCATACAAGCAGCTGCATGAAAACTCTTTATTGTTCTTTTACTCGAGAATGCTGTTTAAAACATGTGCTAGATATCTGGTTACTTTCATTTTGAATTTTGATATTGGCATGTAGCTCTTACTTTTTTCTTTCCTCTTAATGTCCATTAGTATATTCAGGTGGGCTTTCCATCTAGGGGGGACCATGAACCATAAGTCTTTGTCTAACAAAGGAATATACGTAACCTAACAGTTTTGTAGTATAACAATGGAGGATGATAGTGGGATCGAGTTAAGCTTGGGTCTATCTTGTGGTGGTTCGTCTGGGAAATCAAAGGCTAAAGATGGTTTCTCAGAGCCTAACTCAGAGGAAGGAGGCAATCACAGACCTAAAGATGGAAATTTCACCATGGGTGATTTCCTTCAAAAAGGCATTGAAACCAGAGGTCCAGATGGTAACGATTCAGGTTCAAAGAACCATGAAAACTTTTTTACTGACCTTGGAAAGCGCCCTGCTCTCGATTCATCAACTGAGCTCCATGGAAAGAGTTCTCAGTTTACTGGTTTTAAAGACTCATGGATCACAAACACAGAGGGTGGTAACAAGAGAAAGATGCTCTTTGAGGATCCAAAGCAACAAAAGAAGGTCGAAAGGGAAGCCGAGAATACTGATAAGAGTCCTTTTGGGGTGAAAAACTCCACAGTTTCAGTAACAACTGAAGAGGTTTCTTCAGCTGATAATGAGGCCACAGCCGAGTCTGAGACTGAGGGCTCGTCATCAAGAACTCTTTCATCAGTGGAGAAGGATGGGATAAAACGTTTTATAGGTGGTGGTTCAGACAAAAGAAAGGATAAACAGGGGTTTTGTGAGCCTAGTTCAACAGATCCTCAAGTGCCCGTGGTTAAGCAATTGAGTGTTTTGGGAAATGATTCAAACCACGAGCTTGGAAACAGGCCCTATGGGATGCCCTATTCAATCCAACCTGTCGGTATCATGGCCATGCCCTATCCACTCCCTAAATTAAACCCTAATAGTGGGCCCCACCCATCTGGTTCGGGGATTCCCATGCCTTATCTTATGCAATTAATGCCTCCTGGTTCAAATGGTGAGCGCCCGACAATAAGGGCAATGAGCCCGGCAATGGGTCAGTTGGCTTTCGGTTACTCAGCTGTTCAGCTTCCAACACTGGAGCATGAGTCTCCTTGGGGTGCTCTATCACAGGCTCAGCAGTTCCCTCTCTTTGGTAATAGAGGTGGAATGGCTAATGGAGAACATGTCGACAACGACTTGAGAATCCCACAAGGTTTACTTCTTTTCCTCCTCACTCTCTTTTCTTTATTTTTCTTTGAATAATTAATCTTTCACAGAAGTATATTATAGTCTAATTGATTGTGGAAAACCGTTATTCATAGCTGTCATGACTATTCAACGAATTCTGGACTGCTGGAGAGAGACTGGAACCCCCATTAGGGGAATTTCTGGTTCTGCGGGGTCCTTTCTCTCTGTTACTGTGATATTTATTGGATTGTTGTGACCCTGATGGATTATGGTTTTTCATTTCCCTTGGAGTATATTATCCTCTCCCGTTTAAATAACCTTTCATGCTATGTAGTTTTATTTGTATATCTAAGTTTGTGGATGCGTGGTCGTGGGTCTGAAATATTAGATATTTTGATGAAACCTTTGGCTGAAACTTCTTGGTATTATAGCTGAAATTTTGACTTGCTTTTTGGTTCCAGAATTCATATAATGCTTCCATTTTCATGAGTAACTAAAACAATCAAACTTTGCATTTTAGCTGTTTTGGCTGAAATTCTCGTTATTAGAGCCAATAACTTGCTGCCATTAAATTGCACAAGGTGAGTCGTAGAATGATAACACAGATTCACATGGTACCCTTTAACTCGATCTGCATTGGTTAGTTGGTGGCTGCTCATTCTGACACAGTCCTTCGAAAATATAGCACCATGATTCATGTGCAGTTTTCCCACCTTCTATTTGTCATCAAATATTTAGCATGAAACTTTGACCATTCTTATATATGGATATCTTTTGCCTCTGTTTTAGCAGCCATGGTTCAGATGCCCAACAGTTCTGATTCTCTGTCTCGAGAAGGCAAGCCATCCGAATCCAAAAGCTCTAGCAAACCAAAGGACCTAGATGGGACTGTGGTGTGTACATCCTCCAATGCAGGCGATGAGCCAAAAGGGACTGAAGTGGGCTCGATGAGGGCTCCGGTTCATGAAACCACTGAACCTCCCTCACAAACTGTCTTTTCTCTTGAGGGCTCAGGCATAAGGCCAGGAATAGCACCTAGTGTTAAGTTTGGGGGAAGTGGCTCTTTTCCTGATCTTCCATGGGTCTCAGCTACTGGGTCTAATGGAAAGACAATTTCAGGTGTGACCTACAAGTATGACAGGAACCAGATCAAGATAGTTTGTGCCTGTCATAGCTACCACATGTCACCAGATGAATTTTTGCACCATGCCAATACTGAGGGCCTGAATTCAGATGGCACTTTAGGTTTGGCTGCAATATCGAATGACAATCAGGCAGCCTCGACCTAGAGCTGAAATGGTGGTCTCTTAATATCTCTCATATTTTACAAAGGTATTGAGCATCAACACAGGGCTGAAATGCTGCCCCCTCTGTTTTCTGTGAGCCTTGTTTAGCTTTGTGAAATCTCTCTCTCTCTCTCTCTCTCACACACACACACACTCACACACATACACATGTGCACGTGCATATACACACACCCACACACACGGTGTTTGGCCCTCAGTGCCAAGCTGTAATGCTGCTCCTATTT